AGAAAATTCTCTAGTTGTTGGATCTTCTGAAGTTGTGAAGACTTATTCTTCCAATGAGCATGAATCCTATCTCTAAGGAGAGCCATACTGGTCCGTTGGGCAATCTTGAAAGAACGCCGGCTACTATATGGCATCTTAACTGAGAGGCCCTTGGGAATAATGCCTAGGGATTTGCACCTCATAAGAAAGGTTATATGGTTCAGGGTCGTGGTCTTTTGTCTTTTACATACCAGACGATGGGTGAAGTCCAAAAATAAGCCAAAAGAAGTACAGTATACACCATCGTCAGAATCCTTTCAAGTCTTTCATATATGGTGTTTATTAGTTTTGTCAGTGATTTCAAACCACCTTCTCCCAATAACTTGAGCACATCTCTTGGTACATCATGATCTCCTGTAGCCTTTCCATTCCTCATGTCCTTTATAGCTTTTTCCACCTCACTCTGTAAAATATATGGTCCTTTCTCATCTGTATCTACTTCTTCTTCCGGTTCACTTGTGATACTTCATTAAAAAGTAAATTTAAGGAACTGTCTTTTTTTTTCTGGATACATACTGGCAAGGAATTCCCAACTTTGAGCCAAAAAGCATTGAAGATCCTTATTCCTTTCGCAACAACTTACTTATGCGTGACAGGCTTTTCTGCTTTCTCAGGTATAAAGTCAAAGTATCGTTCAAGGCTAAATATTGCTAAAGAAGTTAGAGTGGCCATTTCTGATATTACACAACGTTTTGACGTTTTGATAAACTTTGTAAGATTTGACACGGTGCCAAATCCCAGAAGACTGCTTTCTTGATAAACTTTGTTCTCAAAAGCAGGCCCATCCATCACACTGTACTTTGACATTTAAATGTTTGATTCCTTTGCAGAAAAAAATTAAATATTTGTTATTTAAATATCGTTTCATTTCAATTTGGTTAATTGCAAGTGTTAAAACTAATTTTTATTGTAGGCCTAATATTGTGATACTTTAAGTTTGAGTAAAAAAAACTGCTAAGTAATATGTAGAAAAACACAAAATAAACTGAATAAAACGTGAAACATACCATGACTTCTATTTTGATTAAAAAAACAGGCTGGCGGCCTGAGAGTATTTCTCTTGTCAGGTGGGGCTCAGAGGTAAAAAGTTTGAGAATCACTGGTTTAAAGCTATTACATTTAAGTGATTTTTTTTTCTGTTTTGCCTATTATTTCACTTATTTCTTGAGATATATGCTCTTTGCCTATCTTGTTTAGGTGCTGTCCATGCCTTGTATGACAGGCTCTGCATATGTTGCTTATGTCTAGTACTTTTACATTTCTGAATCTTTTACATACCTTGTTTATGTCCATATTTGCTTTCCTTATTTCATTACTTACTATTGATTCTTTTATTAAATCATGCGTAGTTGGTATATTGAGAAACATAACATTTGTAGAGGTGAAGTTGTCGCTGTGCTTAATTAATGTAGCACCATTCCACGAAGACCTAAATGGTTGCGCTAGAATTGCAGGGTGGCATATCCACCAGTAATTGCCCCTTAATTGAATACCATATCTCTGGAAGATCTGTCAAGATGTATTCCAGTATTATCTTTATATGTGGTGTGGTGAGCGATTCCATCGGGATGAGCCTGTCTTGATAAGTCAACAATTGCTTAGTGACTCAAGAAATTCGGAGCATTTTATGGGATCTCAATTACCATGTTCACAAGAGCTTCCCACAGTTCCTTGTTCTGTCACAGATGAATCCAGTCCATTCTTCCCTGTTGTGTTTTTCGAAGATTCATTTTTATATCCTCCACAGTCTGTCTAGGTCTTCCTAGTGGTCTCTTTCCATCAGGTTTTGTTACCAAAATCCAGAATGGACTTGTGTCCCATGCATGCTACATGTCCTGCCAGTTGCGTCCTTGACTTTATCATTCAGATTTTATGTGGTAAGGTGTGCAAGTTATGAAGGTACTCATGCAACTTTTCCAGCCTCCAATTATATCATTGCTGTAGAGTCGAGATATTCTCCTCAGCATCCTGTTTCTAAACACCCTCAGTCTGTGTTCTTTGCTTATTTTCACAGACTAAGTTTCACACCTCTGGAAATTACATGAAACATTATAGTTTTGTATATTCTAATGTTTATGTTTTTAGACAGATGAGAAGGCAGAATTTCTGAACTGAATCGTGGCACGCATTACCTGAATTTAATTTGCTCTTAATTTCTTCATGAATCAATTATTAATGTAATCCAAATAAACTATATTTGTAAAAAATAATAAGTCAATATCAGATAAACTTAATCAAAAGTCTTGTTGTGTAAGTATGTGAACACAATAACGGCTCTATTTTTCTGCTGTTGGTTATGTAGAATATCTTGTACGGTTGGCTCTTTGTGCATCTGTAAATGCTGATGTGTAATCCAGTGAAGAGTACATGGTAGGCACACTGGTGTGTATTGTGTTTCAAACTCATTAATTTTGTCTTTTAGATGTTCTCTCTTTTGGTTTCTGAAATGTCTGCAGGTGTTGTGTCCTTCATCAATTTATCAATTCTGTTTGGCTGGAATTTTGGTACTCTCTGTTATATTCCCAGGCTCTTAATATCAACGTCATTTGGATTTTACAAAGCTGCAGACCCTGTTTTGAGATTTTACCTGGTACTGTTCTTTGTCTTCTCCCTCATTAAGTCCTTGAGATTGAAGCTTTCCACATCAGACTTTTGTGTTGCTCATTTACTTATTGCCAGTCTCTCCCAGACTTTGCATCCACCATGTTCACAGTCAGCTCCTCTGAAAGAACGGCCATCAGGAACACTTGAATGATGACTCCTGCCTATTAGTATGTTGTGAATATGATTGTGTTGAGTCACAGTCCATGTTAAAGAACCAGAAAATGTGAGACTTGTTTGATTTTGAAACAGGACAAATCATTGGTGTGTGTTTAGTTGGAGCATCTGTGACAAAAACTGAGACATTATTAGGTGTGTCAAGAGTGACAGTTTCTAAGGTTATGTCAGTACACCAGATTTGAACATAATGGAACCACTGTGATCAGTTTTGGAGACTAGAGTGAGGAACAAGTTTCCACCTACAGCAACTGTAAATCAACTTGAAGATGACGATCTTGAAGAATGATGTAAAATTCAGCTAGGGACTGTGCAAAACTTGTAAAAGTCAATTCCAAGAAGGTGTGCAGCTGTAATGAAGGAAAAAGGGTGGTCGAACACCATATTAATAAAGAAATGTGTACAGAATCTTTAGTTTTTCCATTAGTTTGTCCAACCCTACTAAGTATATGTAGCACATCTACAAAGTAAGTTTCCCACTCATCCCACAGCTAGCAAACCTTATATTGCGCGGAGCGACTGCGCGTACGTGATAGAGCAATGACGTAGCATGGTGCATACACTAACGGAATTTCCTGCGTTCCCACAGTAGCATCGTTGCAGCTGTTGAAGATGGAGGCTCTTATTCTAACTCCCGCCGACTGTGAAGTGCTTTCAGTGATAAAGTTTTCAATGCACAGAGCATAGCACCGATCGAAATTCATCGCCAGCTGTGCCGGGTCTATGGGCCTAACGTCATGAGCAAGCAGATGGTGCATCGCTGGTGCAGACATTTTTCAGCAGGTCGACAAAGTGTGCATGATGAGAAGTGCAGTGTGCGGCCATCCATCATTACAGACGACCTTGTGGAGCTTGTGCGGGAACGCATTATGGAGAATCGTCGCGTCACAATTGCGGAACTCAGCAGTCATGTCCTGCAGATTTCCCGCACCTTGTTGCATGAAATTGTCACGGAGCACCTGTTGTTCAGGAAATTGTGCGCCAGGTGGGTGCCAAAGCAACTGACACCAGAACACAAAACAAAGTGCATGGAGTCAGCATTGACCTTTCTGCAGCGGTACCATGATCATGGCGACGAGTTTCTGGACCGGATCATCACAGGTGATGAAACATGGATTGCACACATTACCCCAGAAACCAAGCAGCAGTCAATGCATTGGCGTCACAGTGGATCTCCCTGTAAGACGAAATTCAAGCAGACGTCGGCGTGGAAAGTGATGTGCACGGTATTCTGGGATAGACGGGGCGTTCTCCACGTCAACTTCCTGACCAGAGGTGAGACGGTGAATACTGAGCGTTACTGTGAAACACTGCAGAAATTGCGATGCGCCATTCAGAACAAGCGGCACTGGATGCTTAGTGCTGGTATTGTCTTCCTGCGCGATAATGCTAGGCTGCAGACGGCTCGATGGACAGCAAGTCTCCTGCAGGAGTTCAGCTGGGAGGTGTTTAATCATCCACCCTACAGCCCGGACCTCACTCCCAGTGATTTCCATCTGTTCCTATACCTCAAGAAATTCCTGTCCGGTGAGCATCAGTGTTTTGAGAATGACAGAGAGGCGGAGATGGTTGTCACACAGTGGTTCCAGTCGAGGCGGCAGACTTCTATGACACAGGTATTCAAAAGTTGGTCCCACGGTATGACAGATGTCTCAGTTCCGGTGGTGATTATGTTGAAAAATAGCTGAACACTTGCTGTATCTGTTGCAATAAATATTTCCATGAAATTATGTTTTGTTTCTGTAAATGGCCCCAAGGAAACTTACTTTATGGATGAGCCTCGTAGATGTACATGGTTTGCACAAGGCCTTCATGCTTTTTATAGCAGATAATGCCTGAATTTACTTATGACTACCCCTTGGCTGGCTGGCCAGTACTTTTCATTCAGGTTTCTACAATATTCCAATTCTCGACCTTTCCTCACACACTCCCCGAAAGAAATCACACCTTATAGAGCTCTGTTTATTCACTACATTTATATTAGCCAGTATTTGATGCACAGAGAGCGGTTGTATACTGTGAGTATCGGTGATGGCCATAAGGTAGTCACTTTTCCTTGAAGATGGAGGCAGTAAAGATTTGTGAAACCTTGGAACTACAGCCAACTTCAGTATGGTGCCATCACTCCAAAACAGGATCAGCATAATACACATTGTAATTAATTTACTTTGCATGCTTTACAGATTGTTGAGTGGTTAAATCAAGCAGCATTGTCAACAGACAACACTAAAACTGATTATCTTCGCCGAGTTCAAGAAATCATCATCAACAAGGATGCAAGTTTGTTGGATAACTTCTTAGATGAAGTTCTGGGTTTCCAAAATGATCGCAGTGGTGATGTACGGAAGTTCATCGTAGGCTTCATTGAAGAAGCATGGTAAATAACACAAGTAATGTAGATTGCAGATGAACTAGAACAGTAGTAACAAGTTAGGAAATGTATGCATGTCATAATAATAATAATTCTGGCATGCTCAGTCTGTTATTACTGTTAGATTTCTAGTTCATGAATTCTGACTTTTGATGCTCTTTTATGAACAGTATGAAACAAACAGGGTGGACAGACAGACAGACAGGCACAAGAATTACCTTGGATAAATCGTTCTTTCTTTCACACTGGATAGAAGATCCAGTACCAAAATGTAGCGTGGCAATGATTTTAGATTGTTGAGAGTATAAGAAGTTCTTGCAAAGTTAGATTACCATTTCAGCTTGAAATGAGACTTTTTTGTTGCAAAGTGTAATGCCTAAAGATTTGTATTTGGGGCTATTTTGTAAAATGCAGATGACACTAGTATAATATTTAAGAACTCTAAATTTGAAAACTTTAAAAATGACATAAATATTGTATTTGAAACCTTAAACAGATGGTTCGAAGCCAATTTACTCTCATTAAATTTTGATAAAACCCATTACATATCATTCACAACTAAAAACAACCACCAAATTGATCTGGACATCAGTTATGCCAACAAATTAACCTGTAAAGTACTTGATACAAAATTCCTTGGAATACATGTAGACAGTACACTGTCTTGGAAAATACATATTGAACAAATTATACCTAAATTAAATGCAGCTTGCTATGCTATGAGATCAATTAAGCCTTTTATGTCACAGGAAACATTGAAAATGGTTTACCATGCCTACTTTCATTCTATTATGAACTATGGATTAATATTTTGGGGGAACTCTTCACATAGTGTAATAATTTTTAAAATACAAAAGAATATACAGTAAAACTTGGTTATAGCAGCATCGGTTTCTGCGACACCTTGTCTGCTGCGTCAACTGTTCAATGGTATGAACAAATTCCTCATAAAGCAACTGTTTTTATACCTTGCTTAGTACGACATGCACAAATGCATCAACCTGATATGTAACGTCATTTTCATTCCTGAATTTCTCTGATATCGTGGGAAAGTTCGATGTGTCTGCCCACCCTCACTTTCTCTACTTGCTGACGTGACTGTCCTGGAAGAATACGACCGCGGGCTGCAAGAGGAGCGTGGGTTTTATGCGAAAACAAGGGTGTGGGGTGGGACTGCGTGAATAGTGCAAGAGGACGCGGCAGGTTGTTAACTGCATTCCTTTCCTAGAATCTCGTCTAACAGGACCTCACATTGTCTACTTACCCTATAGTGTTCCTGCCTAAACCCAGAGAAGTGCAGTAGCG